ATTTCGAGAATTTATTTGTGAAATTTAATGTAACATTTAGTAATGATGGAAAATGCGAGATTGGAATTTAAAGAATCTTCAGAAAATTAATCTCCTACTGTCAACTGACAAATAGCATTATTTTTTTTGTATGACTTCGCTTAACAAGAATACATACTGTCATCCGTTGCAATATCCTCATCTAACGCTTCATAAGTGACTTACGTGCTAAAAGTAGTTTTCGTTGGGGTACCCCCCTCGATCTCTGTACAGTGTGCTTTTTTTATAAATAACTCTTATAAATTAGTATAATCTACGTTTCTTGTTCCGACAATAAAAAAAATCATACAATGTACACACATGCTTGCTTACGGCGATCCATATTTAATACTGCGGGTAAATCTTCGTTTTTCGCTATCATAGATGTGTGTTTTCGTAATGACATTCTCTTTCCGATCGGTATCTAATCTCTCAGAATGCCGCCCGCGCGTGTTTGCTTAAAGAGTTGTTCGAGGAGCTGCCGCAAATCGACAAGTTTGGAGCAAGTTAACTTAATACTCTAGTAAAGAGGTAAGTTTCAACTGCCCGGATAAGGCATTTGATCTGGAAGGGCGGATGAGTGATTCTGGTTAGGGCTCTGATGGAAATGTGGACTGGTACCATCTTGCGAGATATCACCGACGACAGGTTCCTCGTATTTGCCTCTCTTGAAGCGTCCGTATAGTGACGAATACGGCAAATTATAATGGATTGCCGCTTGATTTATGCTCATGTGTCCTAATCTGTAACAGTAAATTCAGGAACAATGTAAATATTTATTTTGCATTAGAAATTTGCATCAGTCATACAAGTTTCATCCATTTTGTGTTCGATAAAATCGAAATTTCACAAAAGAATTAAAAATCTTTTACAAATATCTTAAACTTTCATGATATATATTATATACAATAAATAAAGATTTATACATTATGCTCTATAAAACTAAAATTTTGCAAAGAAACTAGAATCTTTTGTAAATATTTTAAGTTTTCAAGATATTTTATACAATAAATTAAATTTATTTTGTATATTTTATTTATTGTATAAAATATCTTGAAAACTTAAAATATTTACAAAAGAGTTTCTAGTTTCTTTACAAAATTTTCATGTTGAATCATTGAAGTATATCGATCTATCTGTAATACAATTTTATTGAACGTAAAGAGTCAAGGTAGAGAAGACTCATTTATCGATACCTGACGGCCTCGAGAGCTTCAGTCATAGCATCTTCGCTCCATGGCGTAGGATTGCTTCTACTAAGCTCGATTCCTTCCCGCTTGCATCTTCCGTAAAGAGTCCCCGTAGGTATACCGAATTCCGTTGACGCCCTCTGTACGGACGTCTGACCAGATCTTATTGCTTCTAAAGCGCGATCCAGATCGGAGGGTGTCCAGGTAGTGGGACTCGCGTTGAACGGTGCGGCCAATCTGATACCTTCCCTCCTAGCGATTTTATACAACGTGCTAGAAGGTATGCCATATGCTTTGGATGCTTTGTTAGCCGAAATGGAACCAGTACGCAACGCTTCTAAGGCATTGTTCAAACTCTCGTCGCTCCAGGATTTCGTTGGGCCGTCTTTCTTCGGTGTGTCGATGCCCAATCGATGCGCCCGTTGCCATAGTGTCGTTGAGGGAATACCGAATGTTGCTGAAATATTAATAAAATTTCACATTTAATTATTTCATATATAATATCATTCGTACTATGAGCTACATATTTTAAATTAGATCTCCGTACTTATGTAACTTTTTTTAGCTTTACACACAAAGTCATTATGAATATAGTTATACACGTTAAATTACATTGGCTAGTGCAATCAATAATAAACGATCATTACAGAAATTTTAGTTCTACATATACATATACATATATATATATATATATATATA